AAAAAAAAAGAAATCTGTTCGACCAACTTCTTAGAATTGAACTGGTCCTCCCTTAGAAAGATTATAAATCCAATCAGTTATATTGTAAATTGTTTGAAAAAAGTTTGTGTTAACAAACGGGGAGTAGCACGCTTGGAGTTTGGAAAAGGGGAGTGCAAAAAAGTAAGAATTTGTTAGGTAGGGTTTTTATTCAAAATAACAATAATAATAAAGAGAATTAAGCCTTAAAAAGAGAATTTGATATTTATCTACCTTTTGTCCAAGAAGGAAATTTTAGAAACATGAACAAAGAGTATCTGGCAGAAAGGCCTGAAGGTAATTTAGATGAAATAATGTTCAAACTGGCCTCCTTCTGTTTCTCTGATTCCATTATCACAAGCAAACTTTTATTTATGAATTCAGCTTAACAGGTACTCCCAAGAGCCAACAACAAACTTGAAAGTTTAGGAAAATGTATAACCTTAGTGACTGGTTAACATCAAGATTTTTTTTTCCTCTCAGGTTTTTTATTCTTTTTTTTTTTTTTTTTCTTATAGCAACTTCAAGATTTTTTGTGAATCTGATTACTGAAATAGTCCTGACAACACGAGCAGTTCTGGGTATGTACAAAAAACGCAGTTAAAGACTGCTGTTAGCACCCAGGTACCCTATGAAACATTGCAAAGGTGATGAAGAAGAGTGATCACCTGGCTTCACATTAGGTCATGCTTCTTAAGCATCAGGTGTTTTCTAACCTAGTTATTCTAGTCAATAATTTTTATTCTTTCTTATTTGAATTGTGTTAAATTTTTATGTTAATTTGAGAAACAACATGGGATGGGACACTAAGTCCTTCCATCCAGTAACATGATATATCAGTCCATTCATTCAGATTTTTTTTGTCCTTCAATAAAAGGTGGATTCTTCCCTTTGGATTTGTTGCTCATTGTGACTCTCTGTGGTTTCTAGACAGTAGCTATTTCTTCATGCCTTTTTTTTTTTTTTGAGACAGAGCTTCAAGCTGTCCCTCTGGGTAGAGTGCTATGACCTTACAGCTCACAGCAACCTCCAACTCCTGGGCTCAAGCGAGTCTCCTGCCTCTGCCTCCCAAGTAGCTGGGACCACAGGTGCCCGCCACAACGCCTGGCCATTTTTTAGTTGCAGCCATCGTTGTTTGGCAGGCCCAGGCTGGATTCGAACCCGCCACCTTAGGTGTATGTGGCTGGTGCTTTAGCCAGTTGAACCACAGGCGCCGAGCCACTTCATGCCTTTGTTGATGCTTACCCTCTAGCTCTGGGGGCTCATGGAATCTCAGATGCAAACATCTTGCCTCCAGTCCTTGACTTTGTAGCAGATGAACGTGACCTACTGTCTACCCTTGTGTCCTTGATTCTTTGAAATAAGAAAGAGAAAACGGGGTGAGGACAAGGGAAAGGGGGTCCTAGGGTGGGATGGGTGTCAGACAGACTTTATATTCTTATCAGGCATCTCAATATCTTTCAAATAAAAATTTTCCATGTTTTTTTAATAATCCACTTGAACTTGTTTCTGTGAATATATTTAGATATTAGGTTTTACGGTTGAAATGGCTTTATGCAGTTTCTGATCTAGATTTTTTTAATGGTGAACTCATATTCTGAGTAGTCGTTATCATTGACGGACTCTGATTCACATAAGTAGGTGATAAAATATTTAAAACCATTTTATACAACCATTCAAAATCTACAGCTGTAATTGTATTTAAAGAATCTAACATCTCTTCCTTTTCCTTTATTGACAAATGTAATTTCATATGATAATGCAAATGTATTTCAAACCAGATAATACAATTTTATAATAAGATTGTCAGCATTATCAACAGCTAGCCTGGATGCCGTTAAAAGGGCACCGGCTACAAAGGGATAGTAACAATTGCTATTTGTTAAAACAGGTATTAAGGGCATTACCTGGAGCTGAGCCCACCAGAAACCCCTGCTCAGCCAAGGTTCCTTTGTCACTCCCTAACAGACTACCTACCCCTGAGGCTACTGCCATCCGCCAATTTCATTTGCCAGCTGCCCAAGAAAAAGCCAATATCCAGAGACAGCAGGATTTAAAACGGAGAAAGAGTTTATTCTGCATAATGGTAAGCAGGGAGTCAGAAGTTTCTCAAGTCTGCCTGTCCTAGAATTGGGGACACAAGTTTTGTTTTTGTTTTTGTTTTTTTTTCTTTTGAGACAGAGTCTCAAGCCCTGGGTAGAGTGCTGTGGCGTCAAAGCTCGTAACAACTTCCAACTCGTGGGCTCATAGGATCCTCTTGGCTCAGTTTTTCTATTTTTAGTAGAGATGGGGTCTTGCTTTTGCTCAGACTGGTCTTGAATTCATGGGCTCAAGCAATACAACCCGCCTGGGCCTCCCAGAGTGCCAGGATTACAGGTGTGAAACACTGCACCCAGCAGGGAGATAAGGATTTTAAGTACAGTTCAGTGGGCATAGGATTAGACAATCAGGGTCTGCTAATTGGCTGGTTTCTTTTTTTTTTGAGACAGAGCCTCAAGCTGTCCCCTTAGGTAGAGTGCTATGGCATCACAGCTCACAGCAACCTCCAACTCCTGGGTTCAAGGGAGTCTCCTGCCTCAGCCTCCCAAGTAGCTGGGACCACAGGTGTCCACCACAATACCCCTATATTTTGGTTGCAGCCATCATTATTGTTTGGCGGGCCCAACCTAGATTTGAACCCGCCACCTTGGGTGTATGTGGCTGGCACCTTAGCCTTGAGCCGCAGGTGCCAAGTCTAACTGGCTGGTTTCAAGGTGGAATGAACGATTAGTCCTTTGGTATGGGCTGGTGTCTAGGTGAGTCAGTTATTGGAATGCAGGGCTTTGAGTGAAGGGTCCAAGACGAGTTGAGATAATTCCTTGGCCTGAGTGGGTCACTCAATGTACTGGAATGTAAGACCTGAAAGATATCTCAAAAACTGCTCCTATGGCAGTGCCTGTGATTCAAAGGAGTAGGGCGCTGGCTCCATATACCGGAGGTGGCGGGTTCAAACCCAGCTGCGGCCAAAAAAAATAAAAAACCTGCTCTTATGCCTAGGTACTGAACAGGTGATGTTATTTAAGGAGAAGAGTTAAGAATCTTTATGGCTACCAGCTGTGCCCTCTAGCATAGCAACTATAGAGAAGCAAACAAGGGAACAGTGACTATTATCAAGCCAAGGAGGGGACGGTGGCTGATTATTATCATTGCTTCAGCTAAGCCTGTTCCTTCACAGAGTTTGACTGTTATTATTTTAGCTAAACCTGCTTTTTCACACCATTTTGGGACCCTTCCACTAGTTCTCACCTTGCATACCTCCATCAGTCTTTAAGGGTGGGTTCAAGGCTATGTGCTGTACCCTTGGGCAAGGGCATAGCACAAGGATCAAAAACTCCCATACGTTGGCTCCAGAGTCTCTGGTTTGGGATAGGCAGTGGCAGCAGGTGTCTCTTTGGCCAAGCACAGGCAGCAGAACTGTAAAGAGCTGGTTGTTGTCCACAGTGCTTGTTGCTGGGTTGGCATACACTCCAGACCACTCTGCACTGGCTGCCCTGAAGAACCCTAATAAGCCTGCTGGAGACCAGATGTCCTGCCCCCAAGGGCCTCTGGCCATCCTAATCCCTTTTCACTGTTTCATTACAGGAAGGGACTTTTTTTTTTTTTTTTTTGCTGCTGTTCAAGATTCCAGCATCCCAAATTAACCCATTTAGGAAGCATTGTCTGGATTGTGTGCCTGATTGTATGAATTATGAAACTGTTTTGCATAGTAAGAAGTTGATTTTTCCAAGCAAATTATGGTAGAGTCAGAATTGAAAGAGCATGGACATTGAATAAAAATACTGCATTTTGGACAGGAAGAAGGTAATTCTTAGGAGGGAAGAATTAACAAACTATAAGCTTTGTTATCTGCTACCATATTTAGAATCTGCCAATAGTTTTATTTTCTAAAATCTTGCTTTTTAAATAAGGAGTATATAACATCAAACAAAATAAAAATCTGTCTCCCTAAACCCTACACCAATTTGACCACAGTCAACAAGTATATATCCTTTTACCTTTTCTTCTTGGCCCAGTAAATATTTTAAGAACATACAAAATGTATATCTAACTGTCCAGATTGATCTGAAATTCTCCACCCACTCCCATCACAAAGTTATTTGTTGAATTCTTACTATGCCAGGCAAGGATCAGTATTGGAAATTCATTATACTAATGTTATTGAAATACTTACCACGTACCTTGTATTGGGCTAAGTACTTTATGTTTCTGATCTTATTTAATTCCCCTAAACACTTTGTTAAGAAAGTTCTATTTATTATTATTTTTTAGATAAATAATCTAAGGCTTAGGGAAGTTGAATAAATTGACCAATATTATATAGGCCCTATGTCTCAGGTGCTGAACATTTTAACATTCTTTTTTCTTTCTTTGAGACAGAGCCTCAAGCTGTTGCCCTGGGTAGAGTGCCATGGCATCCCAGCTCACAGCAACCTCCAACTCCTGGACTCAAGCGAGTCTCCTGCCTCTGCCTCGTAAGTAGCTGGGACTATAGGCACCCGCCACAATGCCTGGCTATTTTTTGATTGCGGCTGGGCCTGGGCTGGTTTGAACCGCCTGCTCAGGTATATGTGGCTGGCGCCTTAGCCACTTGAGCCACAGGCGCTGAGCTTTAACATTCTTTTATTTATTTAGTTGGTTAGTTTTTGGGACAGCGTTTTACTGTGTCGCCCTCAGTGGCAGCTCACAGCAACCTCAAACTCTTGGGCTTAAGCAATTCTCTTGCCTCAGCCTCCCAAGTAGCTAGGACTACAGGTGTCCACCACAACGCCTGGCTATTTTTTTGTTGTTGTTGTTATTGTTTAGCAGGTCCTGGCTGGGTTTGAACCCACCAGCCCCGTGCATGTGGCTGGTGCCCTAACCATTAAGGTATGGGCTCAAGCCTACATTTTAACATTCTTTAGGGTAACCTTTTCTTTTTTTTTTTTTTGTTTTTTGTTTTTTTTGTAGTTTTTGGCCAGGGCTGGGCTTGAACCCCCCACCTCCGGCATATGGAGCTGGTGCCCTACTCCTTTGAGCCAAGGCGCTGCCCAGGGTAACCTTTTCTTAAAAGATTTTCTGTCATGTCGAGGGAGGGGTGAGGGAAAGGAAGAGCAGAGAGAGGGAAGTGGGGGTGGGGTGTTGGTGTGTGCCACACCTTTTGGGGGCAAGACATGATTGTAAGAGGGATGGGGGACTTTACCTAACAAATGCAACCAGTGTAACCTGGTTTCTTGTACCCTCAATGAATCCCCAACAATAAAAAAAAAGAAAAAGATTTTCTATCATGTTATCTATTATCTGCCTTGATGTACGTTTTTAAATCATGTTTCCAGGGACTACTACAGTGCCTGCCTCTGCAGTAGGCAATTTGTTTATTTATTGTTGAATGAAATATTTTGTGTCCCCTTTAGTATCCTGCAAGACCTACTGCATAATTTGTGGGGCTTATTGCAGGGCTCCTTGTTCAAAAATTATTAAAAATTTCAAGGCAGTGATCTCAGAGTAAGGCAAGCTAGGACGTTTCAGAGTAGAGGGCTCTGTGTGACTGCAGAGGTCATGTGCTCGTGAAGCCAGCTAGTGCCCAGTGCAGTGCCCTGTCTAGAATAGGCTCTTGGTCTCTTTGGAGCAATTATTTTCATTTGCCATCTTGTGATTTACCTCTACTTCCTCATCAGCCACTCATTACTTGAATGTTTGTAACCTAGTTTCTGCTATAGGCTACAGAAATTCTTTCTCCTAAGTCACAAATGATTATTTAACTGTCAAGTTAATTTTCCTATTCTCAATGTTAATCCTCCCTGAACCACGGATTCAAACAACTGCCTACCCTTTTTGATGTTTTCTTCTGTCTTTATTAAGGACATTGATTCTTCTCTTCCCTTTACTGCTGTCTCTGCTTCCTTCTGGATCCTACTCTCTTTTATTTCCTCTCTCTTCTTTTTCCGTAAGTTTTTGTAACATGAGGTATGGAATCTCCTGAGGGATTTTGTGAAAGGCACCAATTGTTATTTGAGGAGTGGCCACTTTTCCTGGGGAATTTGGACATCCCTCCCTGAAGGCTGAAGTAGTAGTCAGGTCTGATTAGAGTGTTGAGATCTGTCACTCCCTCCTCCCAACACACTCTCCCCCAATAGGCTGGTGATTTAGAGCTTCCGGAGGTAATTCAATAGAAGTATTAGTGAGTCATTCACAATGATTATGTGCTCTTTTGGACAAGTCCCAACTTGGAAGTTTGGAAAAAGCTAAAATCTTTTTATTAGGTACTTTACAAATGACTTCCATGTAATAGTTTGATTACATAAATTTGTTACGCTTTTCATTTACTGACTTGTTTTTTGTTAGAGGAGTGTCAGCTGTGACCTTTATGATGGGTGAGGAAAAGGTATTATACCTTT